ACTGATGACCGAGTACTTCTTTCCTCTGTAGCTGTCTCTGCCGTTCTTGGAACATGTGAAGTACATATCTTAGGGTACTAACTGGGCCCCATGGTATCTCATTTCAGTTTTTTTCTTTGTAAACAAAGTTTTATGTGTATATGTATGTACACATGTCTCTGTGCTTTGTGAGAACTGTCAGAAATCTTAAGCCATATGTGAGAATTGTTGCTTGGACAGATGCTTTAATTCTTCTTACTGACAGGATTAACTATATTTATAGAGTTGTTACCTTTGAACAGTGTGCTACGACTGTAACAATACTAGGGAACAGTAAAACACGAGATTTTTATTTACAGGGAAGGCTGTTAGTGCATATCATTGTATCTGGGACTCTCAAACTGTAGCATTTGACTTAGCACAGCCGAGACCCTGCTCTTTACCCATCTACAGGCCTATGAGTCTACTGTTGCCTTGTTTTCCCCTCTTCTCTGCACAGATCTGCTTTCTTTAGCTGTCTGCAGGACTCCAGGCTCCTGGCCCTGGCTTTATGGCCTTCATTACTTGTCTGTTTTTTTTCCTCTAGTTACTGTTTCATAGGATTCCCCTCCTAATAGCTTTCATATCTGATCCATCCCAGCTGTGTGGAAATAGAGAACAGACAGGTTTCTGTTCCTTCTACAGCATATGTCTTCTGTAAGGAATGTATAATTTCCAAGAAGACTATTCTAAAGTGCAAACGTGCATTGGCACTAGTGAAGTATACCAGAACATCTCAATATGCTAAACCTTGAACAAGGGTAATCTCTTCCTTTGCAGGTTCATACACTGTGTTAGCATAGTGTGGTGCTGATCTGTTAGCTAACCACAGAATCTAGCACAGGAAAAGGGAATAAATGAGAGAAGAATAGACTATTTTGTATTTATCTTCAGTTGCAGAAGTGCACCTATGTACTTGAAGATACTTTCATCTGATGACTTAGAAATAACAAAATAATGTGGCACCTGTAAGCTTATTTGATTCAGAGAGATGAAGAGTAGAAAAACTAGAAAAATGTTGGAATCTTAAGTTCCACTGAAGTTGTTAGATGTCAACGTTCTTGTATTTTCTTTTAAGATTTTAAATCTAATTGTTTGGGATTTTGGTATACAGTGTTTTAAGGGTTAAAGAAAGTGAGCTTTAGAGTAAGGAGCAAGTTTTAAGTCAGTTGTGGAATGGATGGTAATAACCATCTCATGTATTTTTCTGAAATGTTTGTGTGGCATCAGATGTTGGCAGCTAGGAACTGGGCTCAGGAAGATACACTGCAGTGCTCTTAACCTGATGTACAGGATTAAACATGTTTCCTGTTCAACAAAGCCCTAACTGCATATTTCAATGTGATTAAATGTTTAGTTGAAACATGTGTCTTGTGGAATACCCTGTAATAAGACAGACAAACTGAAATGGTCCTTTCTATTAGAAGGGGGAAAACAACTGAAACTCCAGAATCTGAAACGAAAATCTGAAATAGATTTCAAATTTATTGTGTTTTCCCCTTTTCTAGTCTATGGTGCGCAAAAAGACCAAGTGATTCTAATACTTGTGTACTGGTAAACTATACTTGATCCACCAATTAGCTTGAAAAAAATGTCTCTTTATGTTGTAAATATGCCTTGTTCTCTCAAGAACAGATCTGTAAAGTTAAAGTTCATATAAAAATGGTAAATGTTTTAACACAATGCAAGCATAGTGCTTTATAAGATTTGTTGCTTTTCTGTCCTTCTAGATGGAAGAAGATAAGGGTTCAGTCAGCTCAGCATGTGACTTTGCTGAAAGCAGGCACAGAGGGGAGGACAATAGGCAACTGCTAGATCCATCTAGCCTACCCGACAGTTCTTGCGTTCACTAGGTAGTACTCCCGCTCTACCCTAATGTGTGTGCATATATATACTTATATATATCATCTGTAGACAGTCATGGAGCCATCTCCAAAATACTCACATTTTTTGGTATCTACAAGAAAATTTGCATCATAGTATGTGGGTTTGATTTTTCCTTCTCAAGCTGAATCATTCTTTAATTCTGCGCTTCAGTTGCTTTTTGATTTATTACATGAAGTGGGCCATTATCATATAAAATATTATGTTTATTCTGCTCATGGATCTTACCTCATGAAAATACTTTATTTGCAACCAAAATATGAATAATATCAGATATTTCTCAGTACTTATTAATTCTTCAAAGCTTTGTCTCTCCTGCCTTTTGTTTCCTGAGGGTTTGTTTCAGGTCTTCAGAGACCATTAAGCTCTACTGCCTTACCATGCCAGATTTTACTCTGATATAAAACTATGATCATAATTGTCTGCCACAGAGAGAAAAGTGAGAAGAGGGAGTCTTTAGCATAATATAAATACCTTCCTTCCAAGTAGTAGATCTGAAGATAAAAATCCATGTTCACCAGGCAGTGATACACAATATATCTACACATAAATTGTAATTTATTTGTATGTTGTCCTTAATGCTCTCCCAGTATTACTTTACAGTTAACTGCGAGTTTGGTAAAACACAAATGCTGTTTCCAGGTTTATGTAAGGTCACATTTGCTTTTTTTTTTTTTTAAAAAAAAGTAATAATAACTTTCCCATAATTTGTGGTTCAAGCATGATCTTAGCTTTTTGTGAGAATCTAACTTGAGAAGAACGAAGGAGGTTGTAGTCAAGAGGAAACACCAGCCCTCTAAAATCCAGAGCTGAGGATTCACTCTGTGGAAGCTTGTTTGGGTTACTTTCTGCCCATCTTTGAATAAGATCTAGAGCTGCTATCTCTCAGGTTGGCACATTCTGGGAAAAAAAGTCTGGTCCATCTGATCCTACATGCAACCACTGTAATACTTTGCAGTAACTTTAAAGGCATTATGTGGTCTGCATCAAGATAATGGATGGACTGAATATTATTTTTTAAATCCTGAGTGTAGGAATGTCGAGAGTTGGTTTTGTATTGCTGTGAACACAGTCATGAAGATCACTGCATATGCTGTAGGGAGCTTGCTTTCTGACCTCCTAGTAGGAATGCCTTCTGCTCTGCGTAATTTCTTGTCCAGTGCAGCGTGAGCACAGTGTGAAGTTGCTGAGAAGGTCATATTTGCTAGTACTGCAATGCTGCAGATTGTGCTGTTCCTAATGGTGGTGTCTTCGGTGACAGTCCGATTGTGAGCAGATGTGATGGTCATCAAATAAGGGCGTTCACGGACTGGAGCTCTGAGGTGTGTTGTGTTTGGGTTTAACAAAAACCCCTTTTAGACCTGTCAGTTGCAATGCTTCTTCTGTCTCTCAGGTATTTACAGAAGTTCATTGTCACAGTAAATGTTTATTTCGTGTTCAGAAGAGCCCCCAAATGAGTGCGAGTTAGGCAGAAGTGTGTGTTCTGCCTGCACTCATTCATGGCTTCCAAGCTGCAGCAGCTGAATCGAGCGTTTCATTTGGAGTGCTTTTTGTAAGTGTTAACTGACAGTCCTATAAGCATCATGTTAAGCGGTGTGATGGCAAGATCCGGAGAGACCATGGAGAATGCGGAACAGAACTGAGGAAGGGGCAGGCATAGGAAAAAATGCATGGAAACACCAGTTCTGCCTGTGTCCTACCAGTTGAGATTTTTCTCTTGGACTTCCAAATGCCTCTTGTTTGTGTTAGCAGCCTCTTCTTTGTAGCATAGGAATTGTTCTGTTCTGAAGCTGTAATCTGTGCAGTTGCCTGTTGTGGGGGATTCGGAAGGAATGTGTCCGCTCACAGGAAACCATTCCCAAGGGAGACTCTGAGGTTCTTTGCTTTCCTTGCAGTGTTGGGCAGAGGTGGGTGGCATGAAAGAACTGGGGTTGGAAACCAAAGTCTTTAGACAACAGTCAGCAACCTTTGGTGAAAAGCTGGGGGAAGCTCTTAAGTGAGCTGTGTCCTGTCATAGACCAAGATGCCTCCTCCCAGATTTCTTCATTCACTGGTGTCTGAGAGTGAGGTGAAGATAATGGAGGCTTAAATTTAGCCTGTGTGTTCGGCTTTTGTTGGACAGGATGCTCTCATGGAGAGTTTCAAATTAAATTAAAAAGCATCCCCATACTCCACGGTTTTTTATTTCATTTTGGGAAGGATATTGAAGTCAGTTTGAGATATTCTTTCTCCAGCAGTACTAGATTTCAGTTAGATTTTTAGTTATGCTGCGGTTGACTAGTGTGCAAAAATAACACAGAGGAACACACGGATAGATGGCACTTAACCTAAACCCATACATCTCTGTACTACTGCTTTCATTTTTTTGGGGTCTTTTTCTCACCTACAAAGAATGAGAAGTAGCAAGTTTATTATGCTAATGATTAATTATTTGTCATGCTGGCATGAACATGACTGAATTGTTCTAACATCAGCCTTGTTTGCCTTTAGACAAAAGATATTTGCAAAGTCAGGAATGTGCTTTTGTTCCTTGCCAAACCAAAGGTACCTCTGGTAGTGATATAGTGTAAATTGTTATATGAAGTTGCATTCTACACTTGAGGAGAAGTTATTACTTACAGTCAGGTTGCGGCATTGTATACTGCAGCCCTGGTCTGAAGCTTTCTCTGGATAGATTTCCCTTAAAATAGGGCAGACCTGCAGCTTGTATAAATTGTTGTACCTCTGCTGAGGTTAATCAGGGCATCACAGCGTAAACTGCATAACACTCTCCTCCAGAGACTCGTTACAGCTGTAATGCAGAGAATTGCTAACCACTTCATTTCCAACGTGAGGCAGAGATGGTGCTAAATGATTTCTGTGTGCTCACCAAGGCTGTGTTCAGATCTTGGGAAGATCAAATTTTAGTGTATATAGACCTCAGGAAGGGAAATGGTAATGTTAATTAATCATTGTAGTTCTCCTATAAAACAAAAAAATATTCAACATTCTAACTTTAAAAAAACCTGCTTTCCCTAAGTGTTTTCTGATAACATCTTCATTGCTAGAATCTGTGAGTACTGATTTTTTCTTCTTTTTTTTTAATTTCCTCCTTCCAGCTTACTGAGGCAGGTTCAGGTATCAACTGCTTGGACTCCATGTGCTGCTTCTCAGATGGGGAAACAGCATGCACATCTGTTAGAAGAATGCTGGAACGACTAATGGGAAGATGTAGTCCAGCCCGGGTCAACAGGTGTGGCATTTCTCTCAATAGCCTTTGCTGCAGACGATTCTCCTATAAACTGGAACCTGATGAGCCTGCAGCAATAGATGTCTAGCAAACCAGCTGCAGGTTTTGTTTATTTAAGTAGGCAATGCAACTCTATTGTACTATTTTTTCATCCTAAAAGCTTAGCTTCTTGTTTCTTTCTGGTTGCTTTCTTTTGGGATGGGGAGGGGAAAAACGGTTTTCGAAAGATTTCTGTTAAAACATTTAGTTCGGCTTACTACAAGTTCTTGTGTTGTATCTGTCATAATTTCTCTTGATTTGTACATTCTTCTATTTAGAAAAATCAAGTCTTGCTGCTGGTTTTGTTCTCCTTTTTATGATTTTTTTTTTTTTTTTTTGCCTTCACGAATCAGGAGTTGTTTGTAAAGTCGAAAGACTTTTCCCTTTGGTTCTTGATGTACAACCTCCAAATATTTACCTTGGAGCTTGCATTACTCCTGACGATACACAAAAGGCTCACACTCCCCCCTTAAGTATAACTTCATTGTTAGAAGGAGAGTCTTTAAATCTTTCAGCCATTGATTGATATGAAGATGAAATATTTTTGTAGTATAACTTTTATAATCTATTTCTAAAACCAGAGTAATTGACAGAACTGAACCTTCAGGTTCTAAGAATTTTAAACATTTTTTTTGGTTCTAGAAGGTATATCGTCAAAATCATGTGTGCCATTTCAAAGTATGTGCTAAATAAATATTTTTCCTTCACAAACCACATGTGAAACAAATGGGATATCCCTCGGTGGGATAAGAGCACGTTAGAGTAATTGAAGAAGGAGCAATACAGCTCTTGCAGTCAGCATAGCTGTGAGAAAAGCTCTTAGTACATCTGCTAATGTGCCATCTCCCCATTTCAGATAAAGAGGGATAGCTAACAAACGTGGAAATATTTGGGGGTAGAAATAAAAATAGTCTTTTGTACATCATTATCTCTCAGTCCTTGAATGATGTCATGGTCCTTCACTGGTCAAAAGGCAAACCTGAAAAAGTTGCACTTCACACATTTTCAAGGAACCTCATTTTGTATTTGAGGAACTTTGTTTCTTTTGGTTAGAGGCTATGATATCATTCATTCAGTATAAAATCTTGTGTGGGTAATTTTCACTGACAAGCTTTGTCAGTTCTGATTCTGCCTTTAGGTATTGACTTGGTATGTAGTACATCTCTGTTTTGAACTCTTGTGTCAACACAGTGTCTGTGGCTTCAGTCAGTTTCTCTCTCCTGGCTTGCTTCTGAAATTTATTCAACGTTTCTACAATGTAGGGTATGATTCTGCAAAATGTTTTATTCCATATGAAAAATGAACTGTTATGATTAAGTACCTTTTTAATTCAAACTCTTGCTGTATAGAAAGCGGGCATGATGTATAAAATAAACAATTTAATAGAATTTTTAATCTACAAGGTGAGCATTTGATTGGTCTAAAAATCAACATCTTGGTAGGAGTTGCTCTAAGTTTTTTGGGTTTGGTTTTTTCCCCACTTCACTGTAAAACTGTGCTGTCCAAATGAAGAACTTCTCGTGCTACTTTTTATCCATTTATTGTTATCTGATTAGGGCGGATTTTTAGTTAGCATTTGCCTTAGTAACATGTGGTCTTATAAGGTAGGTGTTCTGTGTTTTATTTTCTGCAATGCATTTTACATTTTTACAATTTCCTCTTTTTTCCATTCAATTTTTCTTTCTTTAAGAACTTTCAAATATTTATTGAAGATAACCCATATTTGACAGAATATTAAACACTTTTTGAAGACTGCTTTTTCTCAGGTTTCTTGTCTGCTTACCTCATGTAATTTTCAGATCAAGTTCCACCTAGCTGAATAATTTTAGAGTTATTAGAACACAGAAGTTAGTGTTGTGTTTAATGAATATGCAAAACTATCTTGGTGCTACACTAAGGGCTTGAAGTTCTGTAGTTTTTGCTTCTGCCTCTGGTTGAAATTACTTGGAACCGTCTTCTAGTTTCACTTAAATTTATGTACAGAACAACAAGGAGAGAACTTCTTTTAATTTCAGTTGTCTTTGCTTTCTTTGACTTCACTCCCTTCCATTGAGCTTTGACACTTAAAACCTAGTCTAAAATCAAGGTATTCAGACTATTTTTTTGCCTTAAACTTTCCTGGTGATATGTGAAAGTCTTTGTTAATTTTTTTAATGTACTAATTGCTTAAATCACATGAGGCAGTTAAAAGTTGTGAAATGTTGAAGGTACAGTTAACACCTGTTTGGTGATTTTAAAATGCTTGTGAAATATGTAGCTTTTGTTCATGAGCTTGAGCTGCACTGATTTTTACCTAAAGCTGGCATCTTCAGAAGATTGCGCAGTCCCAGACAGGATGTTCTTTTGAGTACTTGTGCTTTATAAAACAGCTTCTTATTCAACCAGGAGGTAGCTGCAAATTATTTTTGTTGAATGAAGTGATGCTTATAAAATACGTTGTCTGTGAGAGTGCTGTAGAATGAAGAGTACTATTTTAAATCATGTTGCTGTAGCGAGCTGGTGTTGTATTGTGCTCCTGATATTCCGTCAAATATGATGTTCTGACAAGTATGATAACATGAAATCAAACATGGTATCAAATTTTTATAGAAACTTTGGATCAAAGTTGTACAAATGCTTGGAGTAGCGGGCCACGGGAATACAGTCTCTTGTACTTAATTTACTGCCTGTAAAATGTGTTTTAGAAGTATTTTCTATAGCTTCATTCACCAGTTAGAATATACAAATGTGTGTTGTGGTATGATAAAATACATTTTTGTCTGTCTATTCCATTAAATTGTCAGCTTGTCAGTCACTAAAATGTTAAGAATGCTGGATCACATACATTCTTGTACATAGGGTTCATCTCTGAGTTGTTTGAATCTGCCATTAGTAGTACTCGTGTCGAGGCACCATGTGTAAAAGTTCTCAAGAAACAGCAGATTTCTGACAGAGGCAAATTTGGAGGTGAAGTTCATTATCTTGTAATTTGTTGCCTTCCGACCTCATATTTTTCACCTTTTCACATACGGTCCTATAGTGCTGTTCAACCAAGAACATTATTTTTATCTTAAGTAGTAATCTGTCCTTAAGAGAAAGGCAGCGCGAGATCCCATCTCAGTCAAAAGCTGTGATGTGTCAGGTAGTTTTCCCAGTGCTGTAAACTTTAAGTTGAATTTAACAGTAAGAGATAAAATAGATTCATGGCTGGAGAGAAGTTTTGCGTAGCCACAACTTCAGACAGCGTGGATGTTTAACATGGGAACGCCAGTGTACTGGGTGACCCCGGCTGGCTGTGCGTACCACAAGGCTTTACTAGAACGATCTGAGGCTGTATCAAATCGTAGCGTTCCCGATGCCTCAGTTTAGACATGCAGCATTCAAATTTTCCTTCAGGCACAGTATTAACGCTTCAGTTGTAAAACTGGCATATAAACCTCTGGTCATTTTAGTTCTGAGCAATGAAAATATCTGTAGCTGAGTAAACTTTTCCGGAAAGGTAAATGCAAACTTGTTAATTACACAGTTGGCATGATAAATTGCAGTATGTTTTCAAAGGTTTGAATGAATTGCAGGTGCCTACATTAAACTAATTGATTAAAGAGTTCCTTTTGCCTAATCTCATAAGACTTCTATCTTTTGCTTTCATAGACTTTTCTCCTCACCTCTAGACTGTAAGTTCCCAGTCAGCCAAACTTTTCTTTTATTGTTGCTTTAGATCATGGAGTTCATCGGATCCCTTCTTTGCCAACGACAGAAGCATCTTGACTCTCTCCACAATGGACTCACCCACTTGTTAACAGGGACACTTGTAGATGCCTTGTGGAAGCCATGTGGTGCTCACACACCTGTAGTAGGTTCTGAAGCAAGTTCAGTGCTCCATCCCTGCCCTAGAAAAGACTAGCATGACTTCTAAATACAAACCAGGGCTACTCTGGTGGCCTGGCATAAGTCATCTGGACAGTAATTGCTTCCCATATTTTTTTATAATTATATTCAAAATCGCTAAATGTATTTTTTGTAAGGACTGCTTTTACCCCTGACCATTTAACCTTTTTTGTTACCATACAAGCAGACTGGAATCCTGCATTTGATACTTGAGATGTCAGTGCAGTGACAGTATCTTTCTCCTCCCAAATTGGAGTGATCCAATAGAACTGAATGGGCACAATGAAACTTTAAAAAGTTGCATTTTTCATTATGAATGTTCACTTTAAACACACACCTTAATTTTGAGCTCTTACAGATGCTGTTTTAGCGGTTTGCAACTCAATTTTGTTGTTTCCATGGACGGTTACTATATTCGATAAGCAATCAGTTCAGTAATTTTTGAGAGTTAAATACAATTGAAATATTTATGCTGGTGTATGAATGGCAGTATAGTCTGAAAAACTGTTAACTTTTGCAGATCAATAATTTGGAATAATAAGGGATGTAACAGTTCACTGTTCTCTTAAAGTATAATTCAGAGGCCAGTCATCTTTCACTGTGCCCTGGGTGTTTTGTTAACAATTCTTGATCCTGACATGGAAAAAATGTGTAAGAATTGGCGGATTGTGCAGAAGTCTCATCAGCATAAATTTTTTGAATTATTAATCCTTTAAAGTTGGGGGTTTTTTGCATGTTTTATTCTTTTTCATGTATTTATATTTGGTCATGTTGTACTTTGAAGATACAATTAATGCTTAATTATCTTCATATGTCTGAAGGATCTGAGACATTGATGGCAATGTTTTGATACCTAAGTGTGCCAATAAAAACCGATTGCACAGATGGAGCTGTGAATGGTACATCTTGCAGGTACATCTGGTGTCCCAGGAGAAATGTGTCTGCGTGTTTGGGGCTGGGTGGCAGCATTGGCCTGTTCATTCAGCTAGGATGACTAAACCTATGGGTTGTCTCTAGCTGTGGGAGATAAAAGGGAGGTGCTGCCACCAGGGCGTCGTAGAGCATTGCCTTAGGGACAGTGGTTTTTATGGCTAGAGGCTGGTCAAAATGCTGCTGCTTCTGGACCCTTGGTTGGGAATCCAGTTGGCAGTCAGTCTCTGACACTGAAGTCCCATCAGTAATTGGAAGAATCTTCCTGTCAGACAGCAAACTACGTAAAGCTGCATATTAAAATCATCTTGGGGTGGAATAAACTGTAAATCGAACACAGACTGTAAATAACATCTACAGGAACTTCTTTAATAAAGATACTGTTAAGCTTAGGATTTGGACAAAACTAGTATCAGGTGCTTTGACCCTGCCTGCACAGGTTTCTGCTGGTGGCTTAAGTGCTGTCTGCAATGCAAATCACATGGCAGATACTTCTGATTTCATAATCTGGGCAGACACATCCTGCCCTCCTGGTGTGACAGCTCAGTGGGGCCTGGGCTGCTGCCAGAGGCATGCACCGCTCGTGTTATGATCATCCCAAACTCTCCCAAGTTCAGTGAGCTGCAGGAGGGGAGGGGTTCAAGAGCTCCAACTTGTATCAAATGCTTCTGATGTTCCTTGCCTGGAACAGCTCTGCTGTTTATTATTCTTGTTCATGACTTTAACCCATATTATTTCACTTCTCCTCTGGACCTTTGCATTAATGCCTGGAAGCTTCACTCTAACCTGTTCAAGATCTCATTGTTCAAGGCAACAACGAAGGGAAGGCGACAGATGTCATTTA